TCGGTCAAAGTTCGACCTTCTCCTGGCTCTTTGTGGAGCTGAAAGTTCAATTGTAATTATACAGTATAAAAATTATAATTTTGGGAGATTGAAGTCGTCCAATTTAAGCTAGTGATTAAATTGGAATATTAAGAGCAAGACTTGGTGTAAGCGGCGTATAAACAACTGACACCTATATCCCTGCGGCACGGAATAGTGGTGCCATAGTGTCAGTTGTTCCTGAAGACCAATATAAATATATATATTATGAGCAAAGGATGCCGCTTATCGTTTGAAATATTACACTTCGTAGCTGCAGTCCAGAGAGGTCTCAGGAATCGTTGGGAATATCGCTGGACCAGCGGCTTCGAAGATATAATTGTAAGAGGGTATTGGAGGATTCAAAGTTGTAACACCCGCCTTCCGTTTGAATGATCGAATCAGAAGCGATGATGGAATATATCTGCGAGGGTGGGAGAATTAATGTCCCCAAACTCAAGGATATAGTCCGAGCTTCATGGGGGACTTCTAATTTGGTGATTCCGACGGATAGATGTGTTCTGCAAATAATATATTAAACCAGTAAGCAATTGTAATGTGTGCAGTCGTAATATCATCACCCTTTGTCTCATAATCCAAGACCCGTAAACGATCCTGAGGAAGACTTTCATTGCCACCGGAACCCAACCAACATCAGAAACTAAAGGGCGTTAGAGCGGTTGCAAATTGCAGAAATAGGAGCAAATTTAGTAAATGATAACAGTTTTTATGGCTTTATAATCGCGGATATTTAAATTTATTCCGTACGGCTGCCCTTACCGGAAATTAAATGCCCGTAGCTTAAAAGGTCAAATCAGAGAGTAGTATTTGATCTACAACACAAATCCAGGTGTTATATATATTTGCTCATGAATAACGATTTTTTTAAATGAAAATCAGGTGAACAATCTGAGACAATAATGTCAGCATTTGACACAGATGTATGTTCTATGATTGAAGGTTATCATGGCAGTGAAGAGGAAAATTATGGTCCTCTTGAATATAAAACAATGTAGTCTGGTGTATTTTTTCTGTTTTACATTAATGACTTACCTTCAATAAGCAATAAGAAAAATAAAACAGTACTTTTTGCAGATGACACAAGTATTATAATAACTGACGTAAATAAATTAGAACTTGAAATTAATCTCAAACAAACTTTAAAAGATATTGACACATGGTTTAATGCTAATTTACTTGCTTTAAATTTTAAAAAATCTCAATATATTGAATTTCGTTCCAAGAATTGTTATAATATTACCCCAATGACCATAGATGATGAAATAAAATTACCAAAGGTGAAAGAAACTAAATTTCTAGGACTAATTATTGATGATACCATCACATGGAAACAGCATATTAACTATGTTATCAATAAAATTGCAAGGTCATGTTATGCGTTGAGAAACATAAAGCATTTTATCCCATTAGATACATTAAAGGTAATTTATTTTGCACACATTCACTCCATTTTAAGCTATGGCATAATTTTCTGGGGTAACGCTTCCTATGCCAGCAATGTCTTTAGATTACAAAAGAAGGCTATGAGAATTATTGCAAATTTTGGTCCAAGAGAATCATGTAGACATCTATTTGAGAAATTCGAAATACTGTCATTCTATTCCCAATTCATATACTCATTGATTTTATTCACGATTAATAATGATCATCTTTTTAATGCTATTACCATGATTCATGAACATAAAACCCGAATCCATAATAATCTATATTTGCCTTCTGTGAACCTGACAAAGTATAGTCAGAGTGCATATGTAGCGGGTATTAAAGCCTTCAACCATTTACCTCAAACTTTAAAAGAGTTGACTTTGGATGTACCAAATTTTAAGAGAGCACTGAAGAGATTTTTACTTCATCACTCCTTTTATTCCATGAAAGAATACTACCAACAGAAATGGGTATAATGTGTAATGTAAGAGAACACACAGATCGTGACGACAAATGAACTGATATAGAAATATGTCATAAACTACAAATTACGTAATTATCCTGTTTTATTTGTCTTGATGGGTATTACATCTTGTATGATAGTTTGAAGAACATGTTTGAACAAGGGTCTGTTAACCATTTTATTATTACTGTGAAGTTTTGCATATGTGATCATGAATTATATTTTGGTGAAATATACACGGTATGTGTATGACTATGCATTGTAGCATGTTGGCTTGCGTGCTTTTGATTTCTGTTATTGACTAAGTTGCACCTGAAGTTGTCAACTATTTTTATGCTTATTTTATATTATATGACTAATCTACTGTTTTTGATTGTTTTAATAAGTGAATTTTGTATGATAAGTGTCTCTTTTATATGCATTTTAATTTGACGCACTTGATTAATGGAATGAGTAATGAATGAACGTCTTAATGGAAATTTTATTTTATTTTAGTCCATGATAAATCTTGATAAATTTCTTGATCATTGTTTAATGTGTATTATAAGTATTATAAGTTTACCTCATTTAATTGCAATATTACTGTATTATTGTATAGCTACTATGTATTCTAACTTGACTTGTTCCATATCCTATGGTGTCTCACCTGTACTGGATTTACGGAATGTAAATAAATTCAATTCAATTCAATTCAATTCAATTCAATTCAATTCAATTCAAGTACCCAGATTTTAGAGCACTCAATTGTCTTCATCTTATGTTCTAAAGATGGATAAATTTAAATGGATGAAATGTATTGGATATGTAGCATACATAGGACAGGTCAGAAATGTGCAAAAAAATATTTGGTCAGAAAATGAAGGGAGGAGATCTCATGGAAGAGCTAGGTGTAGATGGGAGGATATATTAAAATAGACAAAGAAAGCAATAGGGTGAGAGGCTGTAGAACAGACTCATCTGCCTCAAGATATGATCAAATTGTAGGCTCTTGTGAAAACAGTAATGACAGAATTTCTTCCGTAGCTACTTTTCAATAAAAAATCTCATTTATGCAACTGGTTAGTTTCTTTTTTATGATGATTATTTTGGGAAACGAATCATTAATTAACTGTGAATATTGCTTAATCTAATTTAATGCCATTAGGTTAAATCATGCAGTAACTGAAACGAATTATTCTTATTTGAAATATTTACCATCTGAGCAAGTAGGTCCAGTGTATGAAGTCATATCACAGTCACATGCATACGAATTCCACTGTTGTACACATATCCCACGATTAGCACAAATATTGTGACTGCATTTTGTGCTGGGTCCTGGAAAAGTGAGTTACTAATAGCATGGAAATTTTTACACTTTCTTATCAGTGGCCATGACACTATTTTTATGTAACAAGTATTTTCGCTGCTGTCTACCATGAAAGGGAATTTTTCATTAATTATAATGAAACAAAATTAAAAAATAAAAGTTTCATTTTATACAAAGTATAACAATATACATATTTTTTTTAGAAGTTTTGAAGGATAAAGAAGGGATAGAATTAAAACAAAAAGAAAATTTTGGGAAAGAAATTAGTACTAAAAATTAGTTAATAGAATTAGGAAAGTAATGACTAATAGAAGAGGAAATAAAGGATATTAGAACTACATTATAAAAAGCAAGGGTCTGTTGGGATTATCTAGATAAGATGATTCTTCCACAAACCAGAAGAGAGCTAGTAAAAAGTAAAAAATGATGTGGGATGATAGAGAAAATTGGAGACTTTTGGTACATAAAATATAAAAACGGATATCATATTACAAGAAGAAGGGGAGGCAAAATGTAGCATTCGAATTACACAGAAGTACAATTCAAAATGAAACCTTTCATTTAATAAAAAATGTAACAGTTTAGTACACAGTGGATACATAACTGGAATCAATGTCAGTTGTTACCTTCACATCCAGATGCCAGTTGAGGACTCGGAACTACAGCATCGACCATGAGGTTTGGAGATTCTCCATTCAGGTCAAGGCTGGCCAAACAGCCTTCATAACCATGACGAGACTGTATTTGTTTTGGCAATAATGAGTATATATCTTTTCGAACACCACCTAAAATCATGCAAGACTGCAATTAAACAGAAGAACTTATTTTAAATATTTATATGTTTATTTTAGGCATCATCTTAATTTAAAGTAAATTACAGTAATCTATTTTTGACTAACATGATCTCCAGCACTTCTGTTGAAACAGCTGTTCCATGTCTCTGACACATTTTGAAGTTCATTCTTAGATTTTAAGAGCCTTATGCTATCCTGTGTTCCTTACATGAGCAACCAATCTGTTTCACTTATTGATATACACCAGACATGATATAAGAATAAGACAATACTGCAAGAACAGGGATTTTAAGAGATTTAGATGTAGCTGCAAGGGCACATATGGCGCCATTTAAATGAGTTTGCAAAGGGCAAAATTTCACAATATTAAAAATAAGAAGCAAGATTTGACAATTGTTCTTCAAAAATAATTAAACTCTCTAATGAATGATAATCTGTATTTGTTATAAATGTATACTAATTGTATTGTATAATACAAAGTAATTACTTGCACATAATTTTGAAGATTATTAGCTTTTAGGATGAGACATTATGTAGTCTGATAGAAGGTTCCTTAATCTCTACCTCCAGTGGCTTCTCTTTCCTTCCCATTCATGTCAGTATTTTCCTTCCCAGCTTTGTTTTCATCATCTCCATATTAAGACTCAGCCCTAACTTGATCCTCTTTTTCATGCCACTTATGTCCATGCACTCCCTCCTTGTTTCTTCCTTTCATCTCTCTCTGCATTCCTGCCTGCAACTCCTGCTGGTTGCTTGTGCTAGCATTTCCCACCTTTCCTTATCTCTATACTCTAAGAAAAGCATTCCATTCAGGGCCTCCATTCTGCTACTCCTCTCCGTGTACCTGTTGTCCCTTCTGTGTTCCTACCCCAGTCAGCATTCATACCATTTTTCCCTGTATGGCTGACTTGGCTTGCCATTTGAAACCTGTTTGTTTGCTTGGCATATTCTTCAACCCAGAAAATGGAGGCATCATATTCCTCTGAAACTCAATAACTTCTTTCAAACTACATGGAATCACATCCCAGAATGATGTATAACCAATCTTCTGAATATTCAAGTAAATACTTAGAACTACCAAAAAGAAGAAGAGCTGTAGTGAGAATGTTGTTTGACAACTGAATAATATATATGGACAAATACCGTCTTAAGTGCAACAATTTTATTGTAGTTTTTGCTTCTTTTTCCTCCTCCACACTACATGTTTCGGCCCTAAATGGCCATCATCATCAATATATATTGTGTGAGTGTAACAGGATGCTGAAATATAATATTGTAAACTGAATAATCTTAATAAACACGTTTGATACTAACCCAGATATAGAATACCAGCAAGATCTAGATTCTCATTAGTACCCAAACTTGTTACAATAGCAAAGTTGTCATCAACCATGAGGGTATGTTGCTTTGGGCTTGGTCTGCCTATTGTAACAGCATGCCAGCGATTGTCATTCAGACTACTTCTGGCATTATCACGAACTCTCACAGGTCCATCTCCAAGGTTGAAGATATAGTGAAGATGCCCATTCACTAATTCGACAGCTAAGAAATCTTGTTCTCTTCCAGCATTATATAATATCAGTCCACTTGGTTCACGGGTCTTAAACTGGAAGTAGATATTAGTGGCAGAATAAGCTTTAAGGACCGGAAGACCAACGAATGTGTGTTTTGAACGAAAAGTAACTGGATGATGTACTAGTTGATGATCACGTTTGCCAAATTTGGCAGTGACATGCAACTGGGGAGCAGACCCAGGTGCATGTTGACCACCATAACCACCACCGGTAGATCGAGCCATCTCAAAATACAGATGGCCATTAAATGAGAACTGCTGCATGGATCCAACGAAGTTAGGAACAGTGTTTGTTATCTGAACCTCTTCTTCATCATGAAAGAAGCCACCAACATGCATTTTCCGGAACTCCAGGATATTCTGCTTTCCAAACACTGCATCCGCTAGAAACAGAATGTTAGTATGTTCTCAGTGTTCACAATTAAACATAAAATGTACTGAGCAGGTTGGCGCAGAGGTAAAACTCAAGGCTTGTATTCAGGACATGTTGAGTTCAAATCTTGGCTCGGTTAACTATCGCCTATCCACAATCATTCAGCACTACATAATCAGAGTTACTACTGGGTCATTTAATACACTACAAATAAACACAAATAAAACTGTGATAAAGAGTGCTAGTGTATTGATCTGCACATTGCATTTAATTAACAAGTGCCACAGAAATATTACCATTTAAAAGTAAACTTATCATAATGTGAATGCTAGAATGGATACATTAGCACTTTACACAATGCAGAAACATTTCAATGGAAAATTTCAGAGTCCTGATGGTACAATATTACAAGTTTTGAGCTCTATTAATTCAGAATGTGTATGATTGTCAGTTTGTTTACCATCCTTTCCCCATTCAGTTACAAGCATCTATATTATATACAAGGACAGAGCAGCTTTCATGAAACACAATATGAATAGCAAGCCCGTTCTGATAATTTTCAGTCATGATCAACAATACCAACATGGCAACTATGCAAACTTATGAGATCGGAACAACAGTCATTAGCATCACTAGATGAATGGTCCCAGTTTTACTGAAGTAATAACTTAAGAAAATGAATTATAACCTTAAAATTATGTGGAATAGTTTGCTTATAAGAATGATTGAATCAACGAATCATGAGGAATGCACGCAAAGTTTTGGTAGGAAAATCTGAAGGAAAGAAACCACTAGGAATACTTAAGCATAGATGGGAGGATGATATTAAAGTGGATATTAAAGAAATAAGAAGATGTGATCTGGATTCATTTAGCTCTGGTTTGTCACTGCATTTTCTTCTTTGGACACTGTCCATTTTAAATATATAAATAAATAAATAAATAAAATGTAGCAATGTGCTGAATTTCTGTGACATACGTATAGCCGGGATAGCATAGTTGGTATTGCAACTTGCTACNCTTAACTCAGAGCAAATGGAATCTCCCTTCCCACATCACGCGCATGTGAAGTGACGAGAAGAACAGAGACTAGTGTTAGCTGGTGGTCTAACGTAGTGTTGTCACAAGGAACAACGGAGTTGCATAAAGATTGAATGTGCCAGAGGCCGTACAGCATGACAGTGTCATCAAGGTCCTCAAGAGGCTTGCGGGGAATCTGCATTGCCTTACAGAACAGTGGCAATGTGGGTAAAAGCCTTCAATGAGGGATGCCAAAATGTGGCAGACATGTGTCGGCCAGGTCTTCCTAGTGTCAGTGAAGAAGAAGTGTATGCTCTTTCTGCATTACTGGAGAGTGATCGACGCCATACAATTCGTGAGCTGACCCGAGAGACAGGATTAGCGCATACGACTGTGCTTCACATTCTGAAGGAACGCCTGGGCATGAGAAAATTTGCATCACGATGCGTTCTGCATGATTTGACGGAAATGCAGAAATGGCTACGATACGATACTGCTTGTAACCACTTGGAGCGCTATGAGTGCGAAGGAGAGGCTTTCTTACGCTGGATGAGACATGGGCCAAATCGTACGAGCCACAAATGAAACGCCAAACGAACGAATGGCGTCATTACGGGTCACGACGAAAATCAAAAGTTCGTCAGAACCCCAGCAATGTGAAAGTTATGGTGATTCTCATGAACGACTGTGATGGTGTTATCCTAACGCATACCATTCCCCGACAGTAGACTGTCAATGCGCAGTATTACTGTTCAATTTTGGAACACAAGCTGCGACCAGCTTTGAGAAAGAAGCGGCGACACTTTCTGCAGAACCCACCCATCATTTTGCAGAACAATGCTTGGCCGCATGCAGCGCAAGCTGTGGCTGATTTGTTCAATCAATGGGGCTGGGAAGTGCTGTACCATCCACCATGCTCCCCGGACTTAAGCCCTTGTGACTTTGACTTGATTCCTAAGATGAAGGAACCACTTCGTGGCATTCGCTTCAGAACTGTTCCAGAGATTCTTCAGGCAGTAGACCGCTCCATTCGAACTATCAACACAACAGGCACTGCTAAAGGTATCCTATGACTTCCACATCACTGGCAATGGGTTGTACACTACATTGACTACATTGACTATATTGAAGGACAGTAAAACTTCGAAACATTCATCTATTTTGTATAGTTGTAAATAAATAGTTACCACATTTAAAGTTCCAACCCTCGTATATATACACGAGGGTAAGTTAATAAGTAAGTCACAAATGGATATAAAACTTAAACAAATTAGAGTACTGATTTGAGAAATGTTTCTATTTCTCAACATAAAATCCCTGTACACTGAGGCACTTGTCCCATCGTTTCACAAGCCCCTGAAAACCAGCAGCATAAGATTATTTGGGTTGCTGCCGGAACCAGGCGGTGACTTCCCTTTCTACAGCTTCAACGTCGGGAAAATGTTCAGCTGAAAGATGATGTTTAAGAATGCTGAACAAATGGAAGTCGCTTGGAGCAAGGTTGGGGCTATATGGAGGATGCTCGAGGACTTCCTACTTGAAATTTCGCAGCATCTCATTTGTCTTGTTGGCAGTATGGGGACGCGCGTTGTCATGCAAGAGCAACACGCCTTTGGTGAGGAGTCCTGGTCGCTTCCGTTGAATGGCCTTACGAAGTTTCCTGAGGATGTTACAGTAGGAGTCGGCATTTACAGTTTGTCCTTGAGGCTGGAATGCGGTGATCAGTATGCCTTTGTGATCCCAGAAGGCTGTGAGTATCACTTTCCTGGAGGATGGTGTCACCTTAAACTATCTTTTTGTCAGGCGACGCAGGATGTTTCCGCTGCATTGACGCATGCTTTGTCTCGGGCTGGTAATGGTGAACCCAAGACTCATCACCTGTGACAATTCGGGCTAGCTTATCGTGTCATTCATCATGGTAGCGACTGAGAAGCTGTAATGCCAGATCCATTCTTTGCATTTTGTGTTGTGGGGTCAGGATGTGCAGGACCCATCGTGCACAGACTTTGTGAAAACCTAACCTGTCATGCTTTATGAGGTAGGCCATGCCGTGTGAACAACCAATAGCAGTGGCTATAGTGTCTATAGTTACCCTTCTGTCTGCTTGGATTAAGTCTTCAACCCGTTGCACATTCGCCTTTGTGGCAATCTCCGTTGGCCGACCGACGTGGTGTTCATCTTCGATATGTGTCCACCCTTCAGAGAACTTCTGCACCCAATTGTAAACAGCATGACGTGACAGGCACTTCTCAACGTAGATGGAAAGCATTTCTTTATGAATATTCTTTGATTCTATACCTTTTGCCCATAAAAATCGCACAACGGAGCGCTGCTTGAGGGTTGTACACTCACTCATAGGGGCCGCCATATTGCAGCTGCTGTTTCACTTTTGTAAACATCGATTGTCTTGTGTCGAATGTCATCAGTTGCCACTGGACTAATGTTACCATCTAGTAGCGATACCCTCAAGTGCCTCATTCAAACATGTAGTACCCCCACTTATTGACTCACCTATGTATAATCATGAAACATCTATATAAGCAAAGAAACTGAAGATTGCTGCATTGTAAACTGATTTATTTTAATGAGTGGGATGGATTTAGTGATTACAAATTGTCTTATCTAAGATATACCTCTGACTGGGCTGTCATCATCAACTTGAAGTTTGAGATTACTGCCACGCCGAGAAAACCTTAAAGTGTGCCACTGGTTGTCATTAAGGCCTTGGCCTGCAAGCAACACCTGGAAAAGGACACAAAAAAGACAACTCTTTCAAATAGATAATACTATATAATATATGTGGAGTCATACCAAAAGTTTGTAATGTTATCAGTAGTAAGACAAGCCATGAAATGTACACAGAACAACACTTCTAACATATCTTGAAAACCCTAACAGTTACAGCATAATATATTGGGCATAAATCATGTGTTTCAATTTTCTGTCCAATTAATTTTCAAACATATTTTGCTTTGATAAATTCTTGGAAATTTACATATGACATATTTGAAGTGCAGGCAGAAACAGAGGCAGGTCTTCATGTAAAGTGTTCATTATTTTTGTAAAAGGGTAAAAAACATAAAGCTATCCCTGTAACAGGGCGTGGAGGTCCACAAGTTTTTGAGATGACGAAGTTCACACATTTTGCAGCCAATCGGCTCACAGATGGCGGTGAGGTTGTCAGCCTTATGTGCCACCTGTCCGCCCTTTACCCCAGGAAGATTCCTGGCACTCATTAATAATGACATAAAGCACATAGTAAAAAAGTATAATTTCAAATAAACATCTGGAAGCTAATCTGACTGGTGTAGCAGCAACGTTCTAGACTTGTATTCAGGAAATTCCTGGTTCAAATAGAGGCTGGGACTATTGGTTATCCTAATTGGGATTTATTGTGTTTTTCCTCAGTCCCTCCAGGAAAATGTTGGGATAATATTTCAATTATGCCACAACTACTTCTGTCAAATTCCCTTCAATTTACCAGTCACATTGTCAATCAACAACAATAATCCCAAATATTGAAAGCATCATATAAAACCACAAACAGGGAACTCTGTTTAATGCAAATGATGAATGAGGTAAAGTAAAACATCAATGAAATATTTTTATGCAAATAGCAAGCGATTAAAATGGTCTTCAAAATAATGTTTTTTACCACTGCTGTGGTCTGTCTGTGAATATTCAAGCCACAAATATATATGACTTCAGCTGCTTTCCAGATGAACAGCAAAATGAAAGCAATCCATCATTTTGGATTGTGGGAAATGGTGCCTTGTTTGCGGTTAACATAACTGTTCACCAACCACAGGATAGTGTGGCTGGAAACTGTATAAATTACTTTCCAGAAGTGGAGGAATTTAACTACCAGAATATGTGGGAGAGCTCTTGAGAGAAGTATCGTCAGTGTGATGTCCACATCAGGTTAGGAGTTCAATTAAGTGCTACATTGTAACCGCTCTCTCTGTATAGTGCCCTTTACGTTGGGTGTCACCTTCTTGTTGTCGCCGTCCCCCTTTACCTTCCTGTTCCTTCACCTGGCTTCCGCCTGCAGCGGCTGTTGCTGATACTTCTTTGCCAAAGGAACACAGGTGAATTTTCTCTACCTCAGAAGGTAGAGATGAGACTATCTCAGGATCTTTTGTATGGGCCTCGCTCAGCCAGGGAGGCAGAAGCGTCTAATGATACACTTGCACTTTGCATGTGAGTATAATTTATTCTTTGTGAAGAAAGTGTAAAACAAAACACAGTTCACATACACAATTCACCAAGTTCAAGGTGAACTACCAAACACTTACAACCGTTCCTAGCTGGACCACCACTTTTTTTTTTAAGACTGTTTGAAGAGTATTTGAAGACTATTTGATGAGTTTTTGAAGACTGTTTTTCTGAAGAGATGTGAGCCTTTCCAGTTTCCGCAAAGTTCCCAAGTCACACCCTCGACTTTTGAGGATTGGTCAGATTTGAAATAAGGGAGTTGACTCTGAATCCGCTACTTCCAATCATTTTACTCTAGAGGCAATTTTTTTTTCTTTAATGACCTAACGTAACTTTTGAAAGGTAATGATGTATGCTGGCCATAGCGTCCCCTCCTGGCACGCCTTCGTGTGACTTAAGACTAGCAGAAACTGTCAAGAGTCACCAAAATTCCAAGAAATGCTTAACTAAATCACCAGGGGGCCATCTGGAGTTTTTGTGTGTGTGTGTGATCCATCTGGGAAATAGGCAGCTTCGTGTGTGCAAGACGTGAGCTATGTCACACTCTGCGTAATTATTATAAAATTATTGAGAATAACTTTATGAAATACCATTTAGGCTTGTGGGCGGTTATAACATATGAACTACATAGAATTGTAGTTGAGAGACCAATAATGGCACATGTTTAATTAAAAGATCAACAAACGTGGAAAACATTAATGCAACCAATAATCTAGCATCCAGTGGGAAAACCTACAGGAAACTTTGTGAAACCTTCAGTAAGAATATAAGACAACATTAGAATTTTGATTTGCTTGATTTTCAGCCATAATTGCGCAATATAAAGTCATTAACAACATACTTTCTCTTCAGTTAAACTCGATATGAAACTATTCAAACAAGCAATACATGAATGGTCCTGATTAATGAAAACTGTATGAAATATTTGAAATTTTATTCAACTATTTATGTGGAGGGACTGAAATAAAAACACAATATTCTAAAAAGCGTATATTTTAGAGAAGTTACATCTGACTGGAGAGATCCATTGTGCTACTAGATGTCCTTATTGCAAGTTTAAATTAAATCCCAGTAAACTTTCAAAGTACTTAATTGTTATTTTAGAAATGAAACTTTATAAAATATGTCTTCTTAAACAGATATTAATATTTTTCCTTGGAGATACAATAAATAATATAATTAATAGGTTTTGCATTGTCATGAATATTCTTCTTTTTTTTATTAATTCCAAAATTTAACAATTTACAAGAACATGCACGGAAATTTCTAAAATTTATTTTATATCATATCTGAGAAATAAATGAAAATCGTAATCATAGGTTAGCTTGTTCAAACTGGCCATGGCCCAAACAGAAGTCAAACATTTTATTTATTTACGTATTTTCCTAACTCTGTAAATGTAAAGTGTTAACAATTTAGACCTTTGCAAAAGTTGCTATATCTGACAGATGGTGATATCTATTAATATTAGCATTTCATTTGTAATTCACGGTTAATAAGCATTTGATAATTTTTACCTACATTTAGAGATCCTCTCAGAAGTGCGTGTATGCATATACATACCATTACTTACCCATTTACCCTTGAATGAATGGCGCTTGGAAAATACTATAATGTGATGGCTTGACATGCAAGACATCAAACTCCAATTCCTAGAGCTAATGCATCCCTCAGTTGCCCTGATTATACAGATTCAAGTGACAGTATTATGAGTGAATAATGGATTTGAAAGGATGCAGAAGGAAGCAATCATGGTTTAGTTTAAGGTAATATCATGGTATTTGTCTGGGGTAACTGATAAAAAACACTAAAAACCTAGTCAACAACAGTCAGTCTCTAGACTGAAATTTTAACATTGGGCCTTCAAAGTAGAATGTAGGTATTCTAAGTAAGTAACTGACTGTAACATTTGGTGTCAAACACGTTATCATAAAGAAGATACCAAGATGTATGTAGTAGAAATTTCTAAGAGACCTTATGTTGACTGCTGACAGAGGCATCACATTTCAGAAAGTTGCCTGGTAGTGTTGGGAGGACAGCATGGTATCAGAGTATCACCTGGTAGAACATCTTTAATAGCAAGTGGGCTGAGGGTGTTTGAGAACAGGATTCTGGGGAGAATGTGTGGGTCTAAGATAAAAAAAAAGGAAAAAATAAGGAGGACAGAGTGAGTTGCATAATGAGGAATTATGAACTATATACTCTTTCCCAAATATTATTACAACCATAAATTCGAAGAGGAGGATATGGGATGAAGATATAGCACACATGGGACCAAAGAAAAATGCATAGAAAAACCTGAAGGAAATAAACAGCTTGGAAGACCTAAGTGTAGATGGGAGGATATTAAAATATATCTTAAAGGAATAAGATGGGAGGGGTGTGGACTGGATGCCTCTGTCCCAGCATATGGACCATTGGCTGGCTTTTATGTACACTGTAACGAATAACTCGGTTTCATATACAGCTGGGAATTTCTTGACTAGCTGGGGAACTATCAGCTTCTCAAGAAAGAATATATTCCATTCGGTTAGTTAGCACGATTTTCATACCAGATGCACTGAAATTGCTCAGTTTTTGGTCTGACACAAGAACAGACGAAGGGCAAACAAGACCCACCTTCTCCCGGTCACCCATCCTGGCCACAAGACGCACCCTGCCACCCATGAGAGCAAGCTCCAGCTTGCCTGCTGACTGTTCGGTGTTGGTGGTGAGAAGCAGTCCAAGTGGCCTTGTCGTGCGGAACCGGAGTGTCACGTCTTCTGTCTGGGTGCGGAATTCATCTGGCATTGTGATCAGCATATGCTGGGACCCATTGAATGTCAGCGTTGTTGAGTCTGTCATCATGAGACAATTATTTATAGTACATGTGACAAGAATCGAAGATAGAACAAATAACTATATTTGTTACTAAATTTTAAAGAAGTAATGAGCATTGAATAGCTAAGCTGATGAGTACTAATATATACATGCACAAGGAAATTTATACCTATTGACTCCACTACATGAATCCTTGATGAAGGTTCAAATGAAAATGTCCCCCAGTAACATTTTAACTGAGGCATAATTTGCTGTATTTACATAAATGATCACCTGGAAGTCTTTGTTCGCCATGAAAAATTAAGATTTCCCAAATTCTGAAGTCGGCAAATATTTCTAAATTTTATCTATTTTTAATTATTTATTATTTTATTTACAGTTTATTTAATGATGCCATCAGTATCTAAGATTATTAAGTATCAAATGATGAGATGATTGGTGAATAATTAATTGAAATGGATGTGGAAGTAAGTGGTTGACACCTAATTTGAAGTACTTTCAGGCACTTGCCTGGAATGACTGAGAAAAAACATGAGGAACTCGAAGAACCTCAGACAGGATAGCATGTCTTGGCCAAGATTTGAACTGGGCTCCTCCTAAATACAGGCCACAGATATTACTGTTTGAACTAACTTGCTCACTAAATCTTATTCTTTACCTCTGTATTTCATGAATCAACGTCATGTTACTGAAAAGCAATTGTGTATTGCGCCAGGCTGCCATGTTATAATAATTCATTCATCAATCCTGCCATTCGTGCAATATTCGAACTATGCATCTTTCTATGTACAGATAACAACTGAATGTGATGTATGTATGTAATACTGCTTGATTCTATCAATTTATTTGTGCCTCAAAGAGATTTCTATTATCATTACCTGATGGCAGAAATCCCTTGTGTCATGGTTAATGATTTCTGAACAAACAGTGTGTGTCTGTTGGAAGAGCAGAAGGCCTCATAAATCATAGTCAAAGAAATAACAAAGCTACAAAGAAGAGGTGTTAAAAGGACAAGACATACTATGCAACCAACAGGCAATAAGAACTGATAATTTTCCTATGGTCTCTTTCTTTCAGTATTTTAAAATCGCGTTCGTACAACGATAGTTGATGGTTCTTCTCCGGGAAAATTAGTTCAAGTGTTTAGAATGCTGAAAAAATGGATTTAAAATTATTTAGCTTTAATATAATTACTCTAGGTGCCAGGGTTTCTGGCTGCAAAACCTCAAGTTCATGCCAAGTGAGATTTGTGGTTCTAGAGCAGATTTTCCCTGAGTTTCTTCAGTTATTCCCTATTAATTATCATTCCACCACTGATCCATAATTCTTTATCATTATTCCATGAAGTGAGTGATAACGATGACCAGGCAGCACATTATCACCTGCTTGGTCTTATAGTCTGAGGCTCTATCTCCTGACATTTGGCTAGTTACGGAGTGAGGAAATAGTTTCAAAATTAAACCAGCTTAGCGCATCTTAAAATTTCAATAGAAAATCGTTGTGGTTATCATCATTAGAGGAATTTACAGTAAAAACTTTATTGAGAAACCAGTTTCTGTGAAACCACAATTTTTTTCTAATATAGGCAAACTTCTTAACAAAATAGCTGACTTCAGCGACTTAAAAACTTGTGGAAATGTAATTAGGCCTGCATTTTTACAAAGAAAATGAAGCTTACATAAGAACAATATGAATTTAATGGTGCTGCTATCTACAGACAAGGCATGAATATATATTTTTGGCAAATGTGGACACTGCAATAGCAATTCAAGTATACCTTCCACTGCAGTTATCTTCCACTGCTGTTCATAACTACTAAAATTTCTTTTTATACATTATTTAACAACAATGTCAGTATTTCAGACTATCTAGTGTTGAATGATTGGATGATATTGAATAATAAACTCGAATGGGAGTGGAAGGAAATAATCATGACCTAAGTAAAGGTAGTTTAATGGTATTTGTCTGGATGGTCCAAGGAAGCCCATGGAACACGTCAGTCAGGAGAGTTGGTGTCCAGGTGAGAATTCACTCTGTCACGTTCCAACTGTAATCCACAAGTTTTGCAGTTGGAGCCAAATTGCTTAGTCTTCTAATTCTCTTCTAAGTTATATACTTACTTACTCATGGAGCTGAGCCCTTCTGGAGGAGCTGCCAATTCTGCAGTTAGTCAAGAATTTCCCAGCATTTTATGGAATCCAAAGGTTCATTACCATGTTCAAAAGAGCCCTCCACTGGTCCCTATCCTTAGCCAGATCAAGCCAATCCATACCATCCCATCCTATTTCTCTAAGATCCATTTTAACATTTTTCACCCACCTACTCCTTGGTCTTCCCAGTGGTCTCTTTTCCTTCTAGCTTTCCCAACAATATCCTATACGCATTCCTTGTCCCCCCCCCATTCGTGCTATATGTCCTGCCCACCTCATCCTCCTAAGTTATATAACAAAAAAAAACAAACATTACACATTATACTGTCTATAATATTGACAATTTTCATAAAATATTCTAGATACAAGTAAACGTACACAACTGAAGGAAAACAGACATGCAATTAAATAGCACATACCTTTGCCACATGTGGGCCCTGTGAAACTGGTGGCTGTGCAGTCACAGATGAACCTGTTCCAGCCCTCGGTGCACAGGCCCCCATTCATACATGGCTGAGAGTCACACTGGGGCATCAGAATGTGACACGATGGTTGAATTGCTCCTATAGCAACCAGAAATTATAATTAGTTTATTTAATGATGAGCAGAATGAGTGGGTCGAGGGTTTATGTTCATTCCTATGTATGACTGGGTAAGTGTTCATCTCATCTCAAAAAATTATGCAAAACATTTTGATGAAATTTATTATTGTGGTCTTTACTACAATTTGCCCAGTCTTATTGTTTCCTAATTTATATGAAACTCAAATAAAGTTTTATTATTTTTATCAAATATTTTATAGAACATTTACAATCTTATGTTATAAATTTGATTAAATATGGAAGATATTATGAAAATGTATCGTCTTATATTACACATTTCATCAAATATGTTTTATCTAACAGAAAATCGAGCACCTTCTGGGAGAGGTAGACACATATATATCTATTGAACTACATGGTGTCATATCCCAGAAGCCTGTCAGCTTAATGCTCATCATGGTGAAAATGACAAAATCCCATATAGAAATTCCATAGACACAAGTGAAATAACATATAAAGAACATAAATTTGTATAACTCTGAGAACTGTAGAAGACTGAGGAAGGTATCATTTGGATGTGAAACTGTGTAGCCTGAAAGAAAAAATTGCCACTGTTGTGGAGAGATGCTGCCTTTGACTTCAGGCCTACTATGAATTACATGTTTTATGCCAACACTCATTTGGAAAGACTGAAAGAAACCATGAAAAACCTCAGCCACATAAGACACTTAAATACACTGTGTGGAAAGAATTAATAGCTTCTGAATGGTAAAGCAGATGGTACATATAGTTACCTCTGATTTAAAGTTTTTGTGCATTCTTGAGGCATATGTACTCTTTGTGGTCATGGTAATTTCGTGGAGAGAAATTTCCCTTGAATTACAATGTAGCAAGTAACTCACTAGCATGCTCCTTTTAATTTGAGGGTTGCAGTAGGCAGAGCCACAAGACAGCTTCCTTCTGATAGATGGAACACTGACAGCAGTGGAACCGCAAAGGATTTGCTGCTAGTTTATTTACTTTAGAGCGCAAATTCATGGACAAAAATATCTGACTTCTCTCTCTTGTCTCTCTCCACCTATAAATTATCTGTTCATTGTTAACCACATCTCTTCCATCTCTTGCTTCACTTTAATCACACAACCTTCATTATGTCTATGCAAAGGCAGGCTGCAAGTGACAGGAAATACGTCATATTTCAACCACATATAGCTAGGTTTGTAAGAGTTGACTTTGATGAACTTTGTATGCAGCAAGATGACATATATCATGGCTCTAAGAGACAGGGCTGTTTATTCTCTATAGTGTTTTAACTACGTCTAGATGATGCTTCTAAGCGATCAGCATAATTCCATCAGAGGCATTAAAGCTCTGTTACAGATAATGTATATCCTGTCTCAGACATACTGTTCAGTTTTGTATAATTGAATCAATATTTAGTCACACACAAATTGTTTTCTGATGCATAAATCAACGAAATATTTTATATATTTTTGTGACAAACATCAAAGAAACAAGTTATGTATAAAGTAGGTACATATATTCTTTTGTTTTATATTTTACAAACATAACTCACTTTTAAAATAAATTTTAGGTACATGAAGAAGTTAGAAAAAATAACTTAAAATATCTCATGTAATGTCAATATTACGTGTATATTGAAAATAAAGAAAGAAGCTCGCTGATCATCTGCTATAAATCACCCTCATACTGGTACACTTTCCGCTTCTCTATTTTCCCCTTCAGTTGTTGAAATATTCTGTTCATAGGAATGTTGATAGTTACAATTTTCAGTACAAGCAAGTTCTTTGGAATAGTTAAAAACGTCAGAATAGCTGGAAGAGAATAGAACAGAAGGCAGAAAGGACAACCTCAAGTGCTCACTTCCCCATCATCCGTGGGGCGTCTTTCCATGGCCTCAGCATAGTATTTTATAACATAACATTACTTTAAGTGATATATAGCATAACCTTCAGTATGGTTTAAATAACATCTTGGTGCTCTCAAACTGCTTTATTCCAGGAACTCCCTTAACCCTTTGAGATATTACTGACCGACTCCTAAATTGCTGCTGGTCCTCGCCAGTACAGTGATTCTTGGTTCTGAGTCCCATGGGAATGATCACAATATTTAAATATCTGAGAGCTCTGGGAGCCTTCCAGATAAAACCTTTTGAAACATTAAATTAGACTAAATAATATATATATATACTGTATATGTGGGGTGCGCGGTAGCTAGTTTGTTGAAGCACTATGCTACAAGCTGGAAGGTCGCGGGTTCAAATTCCGATGAGGTTATTGATTTTTCTATTGATCTAATCCTTCCAGTCGCACTATGACCCTGGAGTAGACTGAGATTTTAACAGAAATGAGTATAAAAAACCTTCCCTGGGATAAAGGTGGGCCGGCACGTAAGGCTGACAACCTCACCGCCATTTTTGAGCCTATTGTCTAGAATATGTAGGCCCGCACGGCCTGCTACAGGAATAGATTTCCCTTTATCTTTTAATACTTCACGGAAGTGTCTGCACTCTGTAGGCAAACGGGGCAATCCAGCTTAGGAAAGTAACACAATTCTTCATGGTTTCCGCCTGTCTCTACAGGCAAATGATTAATATCTTCGACTCCCTTCACCAGTCATCTTACCAATCATCACTATACAAGGTGTGTCCCAAAAGTCATGAAATATATTTCTCTCCCGCGCTCCTACTGGTCGGAGCGACCTGGAACCGGTTGGGGGGGGAGGCCTTTAGCTTCACAGCGCGACCAAGGTCAGTCTGCTCGAGCATCGGAGGCGTCAGTATCGCTGATTTAGTGCACCTGTGTTTTGTGACCACGTCACGGCGCGCGATGGCGGGTACTTTCGAACAACGTTGGGCGCTCAAGTTCTGCACAAAGCTCAACAAAAAAGCTGCCGAAACTGCTTAAGCAAGCCTAAGGGGAGTCTGCTCTATCATATGTGCAAGTTAAAGGTGGGTGAAGAAGTTTAAGGAGGGCCAGAAAGGAGTGGAAGATGACCCCCGCTCTGGACGGCCATCAACAAGCCAAACCGATGAAAATGTGACTCGTGTGCGTGATTTGTTGAATATTGACCGTCGAATGACTGTCCGGTTGTTAGCCGACACTCTGAAGATTCCAAAAACCGTTGTGAATCGCATCGTTATGGACGAATTGAACATGCGAAAGGTGTGCGCCAAGCTGGTCCCCAAATTGTTGACGGACGAGCAAAAGGCCAATCGAGTGCTGATCGCGAGTGAATTGAAGGAACGTGTGGAAATTGAACCTCATTATTTAGACTGTGTTATTACCGGTGATGAAACGTGGACATTTGAGTACGACCCAGAAACGAAGCGCCAGATTGCTGAATGGCACACCTCGGCTTCCCCGAAGCCGAAAAAGGCGAAGATGAACAAATCCAAAGTGAAAACAATGCTCATCGTCTTTTTCGACGCCAAGGGTGTAGTCCACAAAGAGTTTTTATCCCAAGGACAGACCGTCAACGCTCCCTACTACGTGGATGTTCTAGAAAGATTAAGGAAAAGGGTCATCCGCGTGCGAAAAGACATCGCCGCTAACTGGCGGCTGCATCATGACAATGCGCCCAGCCACACGTCTCTGCTCGTCCGTGAGTTCCTGGCGAAGCACCACGTGGCAACGCTGCCGCAGCCACCCTACAGCCCCGACCTAGCTCCGGCCGACTTCTTTTTGTTCCCGAGGATCAAGACTGCACTCAAAGGACGCCGTTTTGAAAGCATTCAGGCTATCCAAGCGGCCGTGACAACAGCTTTAAATGAGGTTCCCGTCGAGGCCTTTGATGGGGCGTACCGGGCATGGGAGAGTCGGTGGAAAAAATGTGTAGATGCTCATGGACAGTACTTTGAAGAATATTAACACTTTGTACCGATATCATCAATAAATTAAAAAAAAAATATATATATATTTCATGACTTTTAGGACACACCTTGTATGAAGTAAAGTAAAAGTAAAGCTATCCCTGTACCAGGCCGTGAAGGATGTTGAGGGTCCCACACTATCTAGTCAATCGGCTCAAAGATGGCGGTAAGGTTGTCAGCCTTACGCGCCGGCCGCGCTTTACTCCGCAGGAAAATTACGTGTATTTTAATTAATTCCTGGTACTCATTTCTGTTAGAGGCTGAGTCAACCCCAGGGCCATAGTGCGGCTGGAAGGATTAGGTCAACTGAAAAAAAATCCAATGACATCATCGGGACTTGAACCCGCGACCTTCCGGCTTGTAGCATAGCCCCTCAACCAACTACGCTACCGCGTGCCCCCATCATCACTATATAGTTTGAACTATTGACAGTGCAGTGAAATATGACTAAGCAATAAACAAATAAACAGACACATTTTCTTGCTTGTGACATCTGAGTTATATATTTAGTCCATCGTAAATATTTGAATTTAACAATCCCAATAAAAAATTGAATTATAAAGTTGCTTTTAATAAAATTGAATTCATTCATAATATTTTCAGATGTATTAGTGAATACAGACGGAGTTGGGGTTGGTGAATAGATTTATTAGACACTCACAAGCGTAACTACAAGTAATTATAACACTCTCACTGGTTTACAAACTTTAAAAATTACTCTAACTACAGCATACAAAATAAAATCTTCGATGTCTGTTTTCACTAGGCATTTCCTGGTAACGAATCTTAGCTGGTTAATACTCAACTACTGAACTCTGAGCTTTCTTACGAAGGAATCAATTAACTCACAAACGAACTCTCTTTTATAACTTCGGGGCGAACCGAATATAAGTCAGCATGTCTTACAGTTACTCTGTTTTTCTCTTGCTACGAAACATGTGTTTGGCGAGCCGTTGGCTAGCAGTGGACTTCCGCTCTGACTACACTATTCCTGTTTTCAGGCGTCATGTCACAATATTGTTCTTCGACCGTATGATGGAATATACCGTCTGTATGATGTATGCAGAGTTTTGATTTAAAACAATGCCAAAGGACACAAACTATAACTCGCTTGTAACGCCGTGTACTT